TCACATTGTGGAAGCCAGGAAGCAGAGAGAAGTGAGAAGCTGGGAGACACCCTTCCAGATAACACCCCCAGGTGACCTGCTCTTCCAACCAGACCCTACTACCTAACAGCAAATCAACTCTCTCTCCCTGTCCCCCGTGATTCTATCACCTTCCAAAAGCCCTTTCTGAGTACATGAGCCTTTTAGGGGATATTCTCAAACTTAATCATAACATGTCTAGTCCTGGTAATTTTGTGATTCCTCTAGATGAGTACAAAATTATATGTACCAGAGAGCTTGAGGTGCTCATTAGTACCCCACTCCTCTTAAGTATGGCACCTTTGGACCTGTAAGCCCACCCCCTAGCTACCAAGGGAAGGTCATCTCCCTCCTTGTGATACTTAACTGTGTCAATTTGAGCAAGAAGTGTCCAACTAAATTGGATCAACATGGTTCTGGGTGTGGATGAGGGGATTTACTTAGACCCACCCTGATTAGGCTTGTTGCCTGAATAGTATGAGAACGAAGAAGGAAGGCTTGCTTCTGTTTCTTTGGAGAAGCTGGTCTTCAACTTCACCTTGGATATCATTCTCCTGGCTTCCAGTGCAGAACCTTCAGCCTTCTAGTGCAGACCCTTCGGCCTCCTGATACAGACTCTCATGGCACACTACAGTGGGCTCCAGGCCCTCAACTGGTTCCTTCAGCTCTCCAATGCATGGATAGACTTTTTGCACTCTTCCATACCTGACTCTGTGGGCAACTACTGTAAGCCAATTTTGTAAATTCTTAAATATATATATCTTTCATTAAATCCATTTCTCTAGTAAGCACAGACTGATACAATGCACAACCTCCCACTGCCTCCTAGAGTCCTGATACACACACAAAAAACCCACCACTCCTCCTATCCCTTCCCTGTTCCAAGGTCCTTCCTTTTAAATTCTTCCACAGCTGTTCTAAGAGTCTCAGGCAATAGGGGCAGGTACAAGTGTGCCTGGGCTGCTATTTTTTCTTTTGTTTTTTTGTAGGGCTGGGGAGTAAACACAGGCCTGTTACATGCTAGGCAAGTACTCTACCACTGAGCTATATGTATCATCAGCCCTTTTTTAAAATTTTTATGTTGAGACAGGGTCTCGCTAAGTTCCCATGCTGGGCTTGAACTTGTGATCCTTCTCCTCAGCCTCCCAAGCAGCTGCGATTGTAGGTGTGTACCATTATGCCTGGTTCTGAACTGCCAGCCTGACCTTAAGAGTCCTCTCACAGGCCCACCTGGTGTTAAGGTCCTCAACGGCACTTAATTTGCATCTGCCTCCATGTGGACTTTAAGCACTAAGTAAAAAGGTGGACGTCAAATGACAGTGTCCAGTGATGTCTGTCTGTAAAAATGACATAGGAATTTCCCAACACTGCTCTCATGAATACTTCTCTTCCAATTAGTCAGGTCTTCCTTTAGAAATTAGAGATTTAGAACCAGCTTAATCAAAGGAAATGAAGTAAAAAAAAAAAAAAAAAAAAAAGGAAATAAAGTGAATTCACTAAGATGCAGCATAATTCAATATGTAGTAATTCAGAGACCAAGACAGAGCAAACAGTGATGGGGAGGGGCTGCTGTGCTCTTAGGTACCTCCTTTGTGAAAAAATGTTTATTCTTCAACTGCTGGTAGGGTCCCTGAGGGTAACTAGTCTCCATGATGGTCCCTGTATACACAGACAGCTGCTCACATCAACAGGCAGAGGTGACTTCCTCTACCATGAATTTGCATTGGTCTTAAGATTTCCTGTATCCAAATGATGTTTTAGAATCTGACTGAGGACTGGCAGCTTTTACTTCCTCCTGTTGAAGCCACCATAGTGTTGCAGTGAAATCTGACCTATGCCATTAAAGAAAGGTACCATGTGGCCGCCACTCTGGGAAAACTGACTTGAGCCACATGATGGAGCCTTTATTGACCTCAGCTCAGCTGCTCCCTGAAAGCTGTTACAAGAAAAGTCAGAAGTGAGTCCAGCAGAATAGCCCGGCCAGGCAATTCCAAATGACCCAACTTCTGATCCACAGAATCAAGAACAATACTAGGGGCCAGGGATGTAACTCAGTGGCACAAGCACCTGCCTGGCAAGAGCCAAGGTCCTGAGTTCAATTCCTGGTACAAAAAAAAAGAAAAAAAAACCTAACTTGTTATATAGCAAGCCATTAAGTTTGGAGTTTCTTTGTTATGAATTAATAGATAATAATACTGAGGCAATAAAATCTGTATTTTAAAAGGTGAAATAGTTCAAATAAGCCTTTATCAAAATTCTCTTCTAAGAAAACACAAACCAACAAAACCAATAAAAATATCCTATCCCCAAAATATTTGCAAATTATGTATCTAGCCAGGTGTGGTGGTACATACTTGTAATCCCAGCACTTAAGAGGCTAAGGCAGGAGAACCACTGCAAAATTGAGACCACCCTGGGCTACAAAGTGAGCTCAAGGCCAGTCCAAACTGCATAGCGAGACCCTGTCTTAAAAAGAAAAAAAAAAATTATGTATCTAACAACAGACTTATATCCCAAAACACAAAGAACTATTCAAACCCAACAATAAACAGACCAACAACCCAATCTAAAAATGGGCAGAGGCCAGGCATGGTGGCACACCCCTGTAATCCCAGCAGTCTATAATCCTAGCATTTAGGAGGCTGAGGCAGGAGGATTGCATTGAGTTCAAAACCAGCCTGGGTTACAAAGTGAGTCTGAGGCCGGCCTGAACTGCATAGTGAAATGCTGTTTCAAAAAGAAACAAATAAATAAAAAATACAAATGGGCAAAGAGCCAGGTGTGCCTGTATTCCCAGCATTCTGGGAGACTGAGTTAGCAGAACTGCAAGTTTGAGCACAACCTGGGAAGTTTAAAAGATTTAGCAAGACTGTCTCAAAATTAAAAATTTAAAGCCAGTCGTGGTGATGCACGCCTGTAATCCCAGCACTCAGGAGGCTGAGGCAGGAGGATCACGGCAAATTCCCGGCCAGCCTAGTCTACAAAGTGAGTTCAAGACCAGCCTGAACTGCACAGTGAGATCCTGTCTCAAAAAGACCAAAAAAAAAAAAAAAAAAACTTTTTTTAGAAAAGGGCTGGAGATGCAGCTCAATTGATTCAATCCCCACTCCTAAGAAGGAGTTGGGGGAAAGCATAGGATAGAAATAGACATTTCTCTAAAGAAAACGTACAAATAATTAATAATTAGCAAATGAAAACATTCTCAACAGCATCGATCACCAAGTGAATGTAAATCAAAGGGGCAATGAGATGGCTATAACGTAAAAGACAATAGCAAGTACTGGGGAGAAACTGAACCTACAACCTATTGGTGCATTTCAAGTAGTACATTTACTTTGGAAAACAGGCTGGCAGATCTTGAAAAGGTTAAATGTAGCTGGGATGGTGGTACCTTCCTAAAGCCCAGCATTCTGGCAGAGTGAGGCAGGAGGACAGCAAGTTTGTGCTCACCTGGGCAACTTAGACCCCGCCTCCCTGCCTGGATCTTTATAAGTACATATTATATATATATATATATATATATATATATATATATATATATATATTTATTTTAAATGTCTGGGGATGTAGCACAGTGCAAAGGCCTGGGTTCAATCCCTAGCACTGAAAAAAAATTTCTTAAATGTAGAGTTACCATATATTCTAGCAACTCCACTCCTACGTTGAGTTGAGAAATGAGAGCATAAGTTCACAAAAAACCTTATACACAAGTATTTATAGCAGCATTATTTACAGTAGCCAAAAATTGATAACAACCCAAATGCCCATTAACTAATAAATGGATATACAGAATGTGATATATCCATCCACAAATGGAACATTATTTAGCAATAAAAAGGAATCAGATACATGCTACAATATGGTTCATATAAAAACCCTGAAAACATTATACTAAGTAAAAGAAGCTAGTTGCAAAAAAACAAACAAAAAACAAAACATACATTGTATGACTGCTTTTTTACTGCGCCCTGCCCCCACAGTGCTAGAGATTGAACCTAGGGTCTCACACAGCCAAGGCACTCTGCCACTGAGCTACATACCTGATCCTATACGCATTTACATGGAAAGTTCATAGTGGGCAAATCCATGGCAACAGGAAGTGGATAAGTGGTTGCTGATGGCTAGGGGGAGAAGGGTGTGAGTCCTAATGAGTACCAAGTTTCTTTTGGAAAATTTTCTAAAATTACTTTGCAGTAATAATCCATACAACTTTTGAATACTCTAGACAACTAACTGTATACTTTAAATGGATGAATTGTATAATATATGAATTTAATCTTGATAAGGTTCTTAAAAGGAAAACAGACTGTTTTAAGCACACAAATCCACAAAGCAGAGCTCACCCTGCCCCACCTCAGTACATACATATGCTCTTGGAGCTCTTGCCTACCCATCAATGTGCCAACAAATACGTTCATTTTTTCCCACTTCTGCTACATTTCTTTCCTGCCACCCTGCTTCATTTCTACTGCAGGAAATGAACCTGGCCCAGGACAAGAATGCACACAGCAGAAATCCTTCTCTATCTGTGATGATGTTCCAAGCCTCAGTCTTAACCACTCTCTGGCTCACTTCACAAAAGGGGACAGGAACCGTTCCGTGCCCATGCCTCAAAGCCTTGTGGGTTTTAGCCAGGCCCTCATTGAAGCTGAAGACAAGGAATGAACCAGTTCTTAGACTGCTCCTCCTTCCACAGGAGCAGCAGGGTTTGAGTGAGTCCCTGCAGGACCCTTTGGGGCTAGCCACAGATGATGGAAGGTGCCAGCAGCATCCAGGCTTGAAGGCTAGGCTTTTATCCTAGTGCCACCCAGTGTCCTATGGACACAGAAGAGGATATAGAGTACTTCAGTAAAAGCCAATCGCATGCATGTTAATGAACAAATCATCACCCTACTTCCAAAACCCACACAAAAGGTTCTTAGAATCTGCAATACTCCCTTCCCTGAGCCTCTCTGCCAGGGCTCCACCCAAAAGGGCCTTACCCGGGTCTTGGCCTTCAGGAACACATGGCTCTCCATATCCTTGCTAGATTTACTGTGGGCCACTCCAGCTTTCCTCATGGCATCCTCGCTGAAACACAAAAGGAGAAGAGACATTTACACACCCAAAAGGGTCTGCTCTTCAGGGGCCCTAGTCAATAGGCCATGAAGAGCAGCTATCCCATTCTCCTAATGGGACCAAGATGTCCCCAGCATGCCGACCAGCTGACATCCTAGAAAGGCATCAAGGGAGAGGCACTCAGCAGAGCAAGGTAGTAACAAAACAGGGCCATGAGATGAAAGGAATAGGAAAAGTGGTCACCATGAAACAAAGAGGAAGCCCCTGGCATGAGGAGGTTAGGTGAGTCCATCCCTACAGAATGGTTATAACCAGCACAAAACCAAATTTGTATTAGACAACTGGGGGGCCAGCCAGCCTCCAATTCCTGCCCTTTGAATGACCTAGTTCTCTACACAATTCTGTCACTGACCACAATAGGACCTCAGTTCCAGATTCTTCCACTATGAAATGGAAGGGGGCACAAAACTCATCTCCCAGTCTCTTCTAAGGCGAGGGGCCCTATGTGAGATAATTCATATTCTCCTAATGGGACCAAAGAGACCAGCGCCAACTTCAACATCTAGCCGGGAACAGCAAGAGACAGATCACACAAATGGGAAAAACATCTTAAAAACACATTTGCCAACACAGGTATAATAAGAGAGAAAATCCTACTAAAGGCTTTATATTGTACTGCTGCTCCAAAGGATAAAGAGCCACACACACAGGCTAGGATGAGCTCTCCCAGAGTAGTAATATATACTCCCTCCCCCATGCACATGTATACACACAGAAAGAACAGGTATATAGTTAGTAGAAAAGATGGAACACATCAAGACTAGCTTCTCTGGTCTGTTCAACAGCCTGCCTCCTTCCCTGTAGAGTGGGTCTCCTCCCTGCCTGTCCTTCCAGCACTGGGCTTGTTGATGAACACATAAGCCTGTCAGGGCTCTGAGCAGAATAAACAAACCCAACCCAAATGATGCTTGAAAGCACTCTTACCACTCCAAACACAAGCCAACCAAGCCAAGGGTACAAGAAAATGCACATAGGACTGTAAGTATCACACCTATGACCTCTAAAGAACTCAGAGAAAGGCCAGGTACATGGCCAAAGTTCAAGGCCAGCATGGGCTACATAAAAAGTTCAAGGCTAGCCTGAACTATATAGTGAGGCTGTCTTAAAAAAAAAAATTAAAATAAAAGAAAGAGACAGGTGCAGTGGTGCAGGCTTATAACCCCTGCTACTCGGGAGGATGAGGCAGCACTGCAAGTTTGAGTCCAACCCAGGTAACTTAGTGAAATCCTGTCTCAAAACACTAAATAAAAAAGGGCTAACACAGTGATACAATGCCCCTGGGTTTGATCCCCAGTACTGCAAAAAGGAAAGAAAAAGGAAGAAGACCCATCACACTGCTAGATCCTTTATCCAATAAGCATGGCTGGAGTGCCTAACTACCTTCTGCTTTCTGAAGCCTAAACTTTGGCAAGGAGGCAGCAACAGGTTCCTGCTTGCATGGCACTCAGGGGTGGAGCTGATAGACATGGGGAAAGGTCCCTGGGGCCACAACAGAAGAAAGAGAAATGACATGGGACAGGAACTTAAGAACCAGCCCACAGACAGTACAGGATCAGACTTGTAAGCAAGAAAGGCACAGGCACACTACAGGTGGGAGGCCAGCAAAGATCCAATGTACACATGCTGAGGCTGGCATGGGGTAGGTACTCCACCCTGGAGATGGAGATGTTACCTGGTAAGCTCTAAGGAGCCAGTGAGCATTTTCAACAGAAGTGACAGAGCAGACCTGTTTTTAGAAGGCTGGCTTACCTGTGCCCCTAAGCCCTGCTGTTCCTCTTTCCACCTGCTTTTGTTTGTTTTTTTTCCGGTACCGGGAATTGAACTCACGACCTCACGCTTGCCAGGCAGGTGCTGTGCCACTGAGCTAAATCCCCAGCCCCTTTCCACCTTCTAAGAACAGAGTGAGAAGGGGACTGTAAGGCTAACCAGCCACACAGCGACCTAATAGGAGCTGAGGGCCACAGAGGTACGTACTAACAGGAGGTCTCAAGGCAGAGCAGCAGACACCATATTTGTACCCAAGTAGCATGGCACAGAGGCTGACTAAATGGGGAGTGGGGAGGCCATGATACTGCAATGCCGCCAGGACACCAGGTACAAACGTAAGAGAGGAGTGCGGAGGAGACTGAGAGGGGATGTGGTTGCACTGATGAGCTCTGTGCTGGACAGCAGTAACCTCTGAGGGCTAAGCCAGGCTCTAAGAATAGTCCTCCCACAGTGGTGCCTCCAGCCACTTTTGCTAGTTATCAGACTGGAAGGTTCCATACAGTATAGTGTCTCCACTACTGCAAAAATACCTGGCTTGTGCCACAGATGAACCTCAGGACACAGCTGTGATAGCTTGAAGGAGGCAGGACAACCACAACCTGGCCAAAGAAAGGCGCTTGCTTAGCCACAGGCACAGTGCACCAGATACCACTGAATGTGCTGGAAAACAAGCCCTGCTCTGTTCTGCCAGTGTAACGTCACAGATGACATAGATGGTAGAGGTACCAGCTGTCAGTGACTCAGAACTTGAGGAACACTGACCTGGCTGGAAGCCAGAAATAGGCCTATCCTGACAAGCTAGAACATGCCCCTCAACAGCAGGAAACTGAACTGGGAGAAACAGGCTGCCAGTTCTGCCAAGAGTTGTGAAGGAGGGGCTGCTGTGAGGGGACAAGCAGAACTGAGGAGGAAGGAGCTCCTCCAACCAGACATCAGGGTTCTCTGCAGGGCAGCTCATGCCCTGTCACTCCCACATCCCTTCCAGAGAGCCCGCCCAGCGAGCCTTTTCATGTTTAATGGCTGATGAGTAAAACAAGATGCCCTGAGCTCTCCTTTCAGTCCTGAAAACCTATTTTTAAAACTGTTTTTCTTCCTGTTTCTAGTTTACAGATCACGCCCATAAAATAGAAGACAGAGCCAGGCACAGGGGCATAAACCTATAATCCCAGCACTCTGGGAGATAGAGGCAAAAGGATCACAAGTTTGATCCTATCCTAGGCAACTGAGCAAGATCCAATCTCAAAAAAACGTTAAAAGAGCTGGGGATGTAACTCAGAGGTAGCTGGACTTTGGCACCACTGAAGATAAACTATATAAAAGGAAATGTCCCTAAACAGAAAGTAGACCCCATACAATAAAAGATGAAGGTCAGTGTTGGGAAGACCAGGACCTGCTGGTCAGAAGATGTTAGGGAGAAAACTGTTGTCAGCTTACAAGTCTGGACCCTAAATAGCTGTTCTGCCACAGCTCTGCCCAGTATTAGCCATATGCTTGCAGAACAATAGGGACTTAGGCTGCCATAGTGGCATTAGCACCAGCCAATAGAGGCCTTGGAGCTCCCGCCTGATGTAACCAGCCAGCCCTCTGACAACGTGGATGCAGGGATGGACAACAGCTCAGAGCACATACCCCGTGTGTGACTAGGGCCCAAAAAGCTCTTCCTTGGGCCATGGGCTAGCTTCCTCTCGGTTGTCGTAACTGTATCTGCTCCCCCTGGCCAGGATTTTACTGGTATCTGGTTTAGACTGGGGCCTTCTAGGAGCTTATCTATCATTACAGGACTGGAACTCCCCCTATCAGGGGGTCCAAGGATGCCCTCACTGTCCAGACCTGCCCCTGGAATATAGTGTATCTTAAAGGCACTGCCTTAGCAGCCAGAAGATGACACACCATGAAAACCTCCTGATATCCTCATTTCTGCACCAAGGCCCCATACAGGATACCTGGAAATCCCCTTCACTTCTCCACAGCCTCCTCCAACTCCCTAAAGTTCAAACTCTTGCAGCAATCCCTCCCCATGGGCCTTTGTCTCCAGTTCCCTGTTCCATCTACTCTCCAAGTCACATTATTGCTCACGAGTGAAGGAAGCAGCTGCTATGGTCCTACCTACCTGGTCTTATACCTTGTTCCTTATGAGCAAGGCCTGCCCAGTAGCCCACTTAAGCACTGGCCATGCCACCTACTCCCATGCCAGGGCCTTAGGGACAGTGACCTGGCTGTTTTTTTATGCTACTTGAAAGTCCATCACCTCTGCTGGGGCTTTCCGGCTTGATCCCACCTAGATCCCACCTAGCATTCCAGCTATCTACTTTACAGAAACTTTGGAGCCACTTGTGGACCTTCCATATGAATCATAAATTCCTGTCTGTCAGCCCCACTGTACTAAAAAACACCCCAAAAGTAAAATGACATCATTCACCTCTGCATGCAACAGGCAGTCATCAGTGCTGGACAAGATAACATGCTATTTTTAACACAGGAATGGTACTGCCACCAGATGTGCCAGCACACACCTACAATCCTAGCCCTCAGGAGGCTGAGACAGGAGGATGGCTGTGAGTTGGAGGCCAGCCTGGGCTACACAGTAAGCTCAAGGCCAGCATAAACTACATAGCAAGACCCTGTCTCAAAAACAAACAAACAAACAAACAAACCCAAAGGAATGGTACTACCATGCATGTTCATGGACCATTAAGTCAGTGTGGCAGGCACTAGGGGAGCAAAGCCTTAAACAAGCACTTCCAGGCAGTAGAGGTCAGGGTCACCAGGGAAAGGCATGTGATGGAGTATGTGGAGGGTTAGGCTAGCTGGGCCTGGCAGGATATACAGAGAAAGAAGGGCCTGGGCTTCAATTCCAGTCTGGCCACTTGCCAGCTGTGGGTCTTGAGGAGGCACTCCCTGCCCTCAAGATGGCACTGGCAGAAGAAGTGCTCTAAATGGCTGTAGCCAGGTACACACAAGGTGTAAGGGTGTAAAGACAAGTCTAGCACTGGCTCAGCTTGTGTACAGCTTGGGTCTGTGGTTCCTTGTCCCCCTCACCCCCAAACTTGAAAACTCAATTTATCAGGAGTGGGCATGGTGTTACCCACCTATAATCCCAGCTACTCAGGAGGCTGAGGCAGGAAGCCCACAAATTCAAAGCCAGTCTAAGAAATACAATGAGACCCTGTCTCAAAAACGTAAAA